CCAAGGAATTTTGAATAGCTTGAGGGTACCTTGTAGATCACTCGGAAGGCCTTGTTGGCATCCACGCGATGGTCTGAGTCCACTAGGTGCGCTAGACTGGAACTGTTCATACCCTTTAGTTGGCCCTTCCTTAACCATGTTGGAATGTGTTCTCGTACTCTTTTGGACAAATGCCGGCTCGCGCGACCAATATATTCTGCCGCACGTGAGCAGGTAAATGAATATATGCACATAGAAGTGGCCTGGGCTGGCAGTTTGTCTTTGATCTTTCTGTATAGGATGTGAGTTGTCGAGAAAAGTACATGGGCGATGGCTGCTTGGAAGGTGGCTGCTACAGCTTGACCCAGGCGCCTCTTTAGAAGTTCGATTGTTCGTCCCCTTGAAATGGGACCCTGATGAATATTCGCTTCTTCTCTGCTGTTACCAATGAGTGCTTTGGCGGCCTTTCAGTCACGTCCTTAGCGATAAATCGACTGGGATACCCATTTTGTCGCAACACGTCTTCAATAATCTTTAGGTCCTCTTCTATGCTATCATTCGAGCAGATCCTTTTCGCCCTTTGCGTCAAACATCGTACTAAATTACGTTTGAAGTTTAACTGTACGAAGCTAGCAAAATGGATGCATCTCCCGGATCACGTCTTCTTACGATATATCCTACATTGAACAGTCTCATCAGCCGTTTTACTCCGCAGTACATCAAGGATAATGGCTGATTTGTAGGAGTCAACGTGAGAAAAACAGTGAACGTATATGCGTATTCATAGGTGACACGTTTAACGTTGTACTCGGAACTGTATTTTTGTATGCCTATTCGTAAACTCATACAGCAACCATGATGTTCCGCCGTAAGCCTATAGACACCCAGCCATCATACTGTAAAAAGCAGCTATTCAGCCTTCTCTTCTTCCCTCGTGAATTCCAATTCGGGGATAGTGTCGTTAACCAGGTTTCGGAAATCCGCTAGTGTACGTGTTATCCAGGCATAGGCCCCAAAACGCAGGTTCGTACCATGTGCCATGTCGCGACTGTCCTTCCAGTATACGGGGCATACCAGGCCACGACTTAGCTCACAAATAATGCAGGACATATGGGCAATGCGAAGATATGTCCCACTGTCTCAGATCTCTACCCACACCTTGGAGGAAGGCCATGAATTTAACTTTACGGGCACACAGTATTAAGACGGAGGGAGAACTACTAGAGGCCTGGATCTCTGCCTCTGGCTCCATTAACAGATATACTGATATGTTCGTATGAATTTGAAAATAGGCATCACAAGAAATAAAATTTGATAGAAAAGATCCTTTGGGAAACAGGAACAAACTTTATTGTACATTTTCGACGCTGGCACACCAGGTCTTCTTCGGACGTGAAGGAAATGTGTGATGAGCAGTGCGCATTTTCAAACGTATCAAAAAATCGATAACGCTGCGTCATCCATGGTCAATAGCATGTTTTGGTGGTTGGCGCTTTTTCCAGGCTTTTTTGAGATTGGTATACATTGAATGCAAACCAACATGTGTGTGGCCTCCAAAAATTATTGGTCCTTCTTATATGGGCAGGAATTTACTATGCGGGTTTGGTCCCATGCAAACGTGTACCCACTTTCAAGCGAATGCATGGTGGCTTCGGACAAGCGGCCGTGCCTCTTTAACCCTAATTGATGTTCGAATGTGCCTGCTGAGGCGGACCTTCCTATTTGTCCGCAATAAATTGCATCGCAGTCGCTGCAAGGAATTTTGTAAACGACCTCTTTTCTGTCCAAATAGCCAACCCTGTCCTTAGGGTGTACAAGCTGATTTCGAAATGTGATCTTTGTTTTGATAGGGTTGGCTATTTGGACAGAAAAGAGGTCGTTTACAAAATTCCTTGCAGCAACTGCGATGCAATTTATTGCGGACAAACAGGAAGAACCGCCTCTATACGCATACACAAACATCAATTAGGGGTAAAGGGGCACGGCCACCTGTCCGAAGTCGCCATGCATTCTCTTGAAAGTGGGCACACGTTTGCATGGGACCAAACCCGCATAGTAGGCTCCTGCCCATATAGGAAAGGCCGATAATTTTTAGAGGCCATTAATTCTATCAATAGGCACGCTGATCTGGATTCAATGTACATAATTCTCAAAAAAGCCTAGAAAAAGCACCAACCACCAAATCATGCTATTGACCATGGATGACGAAGCATT